AATATTAAACAGCCTATGGGTTTATACTCAATATCAAACTATTCGCAAAATGGCTTACAACTTCTATTCAAATTGTAAAGGAACTGAAATATAAATATATCTTACTGCAGTCAAAAATATTCATAATATGTATGTATCCTATTCCTCCACTTATTTCAGTACATTTTAAAAACTGTAGCTGAATGCAATTTTTTATATTTATAAACGAGGCATAACAGCTCACACAGTCGTAAAAATGTCTTTATCATTTTTAAATATACTACTATAAAACGTATATGGATTGTAAGATCAGTTGTAAAATCCTAAAAGCTTTTAGAGGAGCTAAAAACATGTAATTTTGGATTGATCAAATTTTTAATATAATACACAAATATACATGTTATTAAGCAAATGCATTTGAAAAATCAAACTTCCTTCTGAAATAAACGTAATTGAAAGAAAAATGTTTAATTGCAAATGAGTGGAAATACATGTTTATCTAAGGGGTATCCCCAAAGTGAGGTAATCCTCAAACTTAAAACTCAAACTGAGTGGCACAACAATCGATGAGGGCCAGGAACTACTGTGCCCATCATAATACACGTGACCATTGGACGCTGAGGTGCATGAACAGATGTCCCGATTTGGTGGTCTGTCTGAAGAGAGACGTTCAGTGTTTAAGACCCGAAGCAAGCTTGGTACTCATTTATCGACCCAATGTAGCGAGGATGAAAGGCAGAGTCGACCTTGCGCAGCCCGTTAATAGAACCCCAGACCTGTGGTGTGGAAGCACTATACACTACCACTCAATCCTATTCGGTGAAAAATAAAATTTAATGTTAGAATCTTATATAAATCCCTAATGAATGAGGGAGTCGAAACTTTTTTTTTTCATGTAAACTGTTTAGACGGAAATGGTTAATTATGAACATTTCACAAGTTGCATAAATTAAAATTAACCGTTATAGTTAACATAAATTTTTAAGGGTGTAAAAGGTGTATTTCGGCTGCACGAATTAATTTTAAAAGGATTACGGTTACGAAAAAGTAGTACAAATCTACCTAAAGTAGGGTTGGTTACCTTACATATTGTCAAACACAACAATGTATTGGAAGCCAATTCCACAATTCGTTGTTATAAAAATGTATGGAAAATTACAAGATTTATTTTTGCATTTGTAATTTATATATATATAATTTTTCATGGGAACTTTAAAAGCTAGAGTGGCGTCCATCAAAACCGCGGTTCTCTCTCTGATTTTCCAGATCGCCCCTGACTAAGCCGGCTCTGCCATAGTAAGGGAAAATGCCGGATTTTGTTTGTCAAGGTCATTTTATAGCAGACTGAATTTTTCATGTATAACATCAATATCTTAACGTCTGAATTTAAAATTACATAAAATTCTTGACATTCGCATCAATGACCATGATAATTTTTATTAGTATATGAATGTGTCATCAAACGATTACATGTCTAATATTAACATATTATTTTAACCATTTAATTAATATTAAGTATAACATAACGCACACAAATTTTCTGAACTTTAAAATAATTATTTCGAAAACTACTTGAGATATACATAAAATTTTTCATTCCTACGCTTTAGCTTCTCAGTTTTGCTTCTCTCTATGTAAGAATTTATATTGTAATTGTATATATTCATCAATTTTTTTAGTATATTTTTTGCTCTTAGCATGCAGTTTTCAACTGAATTGTATGAAATCTTCGAAATACATTAAAAGATACCAAAGAAGCTATATAATAAAATTTGAAATTTTTATTATACTCAAACAATTGCTAAAGCTTATGGTAAATAATTTTTAACTGCGAGATACATTTTTTTCGAAATTTCAAATGGAATTTCTAACATAAAATGTCTATCTTTATACGGTTGAGATTTCAAAAAATATGCAGATTTTAATTACTTATTCAGTTAGCCTTTAAAAAAGATAAATGTTGAGGTATTTTGTATAAATAGATATTTTTGAACTATATTTCGAATGTTTTTGAATAGCTCGAATTTAAAATTGATTTTTATGTTTATTTATATGCATAAATGTCTACTGTAAATGTTTCCGTATATTTTTGATTACCATTTATTCAAACATTCAAGTTATAAAAAAATGTGTGAAAATTTTCATTCATGTTGTCTTTGATGTAAACTGAAGTTCAAGCACTTAAAATTCAAATATAGTTCGGTGTATTTTAACAATATATAACTAGGCACTGTACGTAAACTTCCCTGAACACTTGGGCTTTGAAATCTAAAAAAAATACTAATAAATCTTAATTATTTTTTTTTCGTTATTATTTTTATCAAAGTGTAAGAAAATGTTTTATTTGATGAACTTTAAATTTATTCATTTTTAGTGTTTGAAAAATTGAAAAAATTTCAAATTTTAAAGAGTTTGGTGTTTTATTAATTTTTTCGAATCTTATAATAAAATAATCATGTTTCAAAAACTGAAAGCTTTGATTAAAATAAGAAAAATGAAGCGAAAGAATATACCTAAAAAAAGATAATTTGTCTAACTATATAAAATAGCAGATTGCACTGACACGCCCCAACTTGTAACAGTTTCAAATTAATATGAAACCAAAAGGGAATTGTAACATATTTTACTTATGCGTTGGGACTTTTGAAAACTTTTAAAATACGAGGTAACAAATAAACACTTCCTGGGGTCTAAAGAAATTTCCCCCCGATTTTTTACGATTGCCCCAGGGTCAAAACACGGGGTTTTTCTGCGAGCCATAAAACTTCCTATCAGTGTCCTGCTATGTTGCTTCCACCGTCCCTAATTATCTTTCAAGATGTTAAACCTTTAAATGGGGGAAAGGATTTCAGAAAAGTGCGGCTCAACCGCTTTTGAAAACGTTACTTGAAGGCAGAAAAATCCGTGCAGTGCATTTTCGAAGCATCTTTACATTGACGGAATTTTCCGTGCTATCCGCTTAGTGGGTTAAACAAAAAAAGAAGCTTTTTGTATATCTCAGCTAAACGAAAAAAAGAAAGAAAAGAAACACCTTTGTTTAATTTTATGTATGTAGAACTAATAGCTGATAAAAAGGATCTTTTTTAAATTTATAATTCCTCGTAACACTTTTAAGGGTCGATTTTTCAAAATACCTCCGTAATCTGATCTCTGCTCAGCAAAAGTAACACATTGTTAAAAGTTTTGCGTAATGAACGCTTAAAATAGTGTAAATAATTTATATCTGAAAGTGTAATACATTAATATTACTTTCTGTTGTATTTATTTTATTTTAAAATTGTAATATTCGCAAGCAACGCCGTTTCTTAAATTATAATAGCGATTTAATGAAAAACATAGCGAAATGTTAACGATAGAGTCAAGTTGGCAAATGCCTAGCTACTTTCGTAGCTCGAGCTTTATTAGAGCTTTGTAAGACCCGCCGTGTAGGAGAGAAATGCACTTTAGTACTTTATCGAACCACATTATGGTTTTCTACAGTTTTTTCATACAATATTTTTTGGATCACTACATTTACAAATTAAGGGATATACATAAACAAAATACTCCACTTTGGAAAATTTAATCCGTTAGAGCTAATAAATTAATTAAAGATATTCCACTATAAAATTAATTATGTCCACCGTTCACTTAAAATAAGTAGTCAAATCATTTTCCAAGGTCTTCACTAACATACAAAAAAATAAGACACTTAAATTTTGACAAACTATTTTTTCCGCTTAAATACTCATCATGGAACCCGTGCTGCCATATATCTTGGAAGAGTGGATTTCAAAGAATATTCCTGCTAAGTATTGGTAGAATATTCCTTCTAAGTTGGTGTGGTGTGGTAGTTAGGAGAAGGAGGTGCCAGCTCAGGTGTCGTGCACGTCACTTGACCATGGTTCAAAATTACGTGATACACTGCCAAAAGCCCTCGTGTAGCTGAACAGTGCGATGTTAATATTCACTCACTCACACACTCCAAAAAATACAGTACAGTAGTTATAATTATTTTTATACTTAAAATTGCAATATCTGCCTATTCAATTAAAATTATAGCATTATAATTAACTACTAACCATAAACAAACTTTGAAAATTTGTCCAAATGATGCAGTGTGAAAGAGAAAGTTTATTTACTTTAAGTGCCAGAACCGATAAAAGCATTTATTTTGAAATAAGATCGATTTCTTATTACCAAATGTGCATAATAAAATCATAGAAAAACATTAAAATGAAGATAGATTTATAACAACCTCTCCCTTCAAAACTTGGTTTTATTCTGAAATAAAAAAATAGGCATTATTCTGATCACAGGAATTAATTAGAAGCGAGCCCATTGCGTAGCCAAAACAAAAAGAGTTTTTCACAAACAAAAGATAGATATATGCTGTGGTGGGCTTTTTTGCACCGCAAGCCAGAATTGCTTGTAGATGGCAGAAATTTTTCACACTTACTTGACAAATATCGTTATATTTTGGACACTTTTTACAAATTTTTATAAATTATAGTCTAGTCTATAAATTATAGCCTATGTGTTATTTTGATGTATAAGCTATATTACTGTAAACTTCCATTAAAATCCATTCAGTTGTTTTTGCGTGAAAGACCCACAAAGATTTTCACATTTATAATATATATTAGATATATTGTCCAAATTTTCAATCGTTAATAAAATGCTTTCTATGCATCCGTTCTAGTTCAAATACATTTTTTTAAACTTGTATTGCTCATGATGTTAATATAGTTTTTTTTCCATTTTCTACAGTTTTTTTCCATTGAACTATTTTTCAATTCCTACACTTTAGTTCACTCTCTCCCTATATATATATATCTTGTTCAAATTTTCAATCATTAATAAAATACTTTCTATTCATCCACTCAAGTTCAAATCATTTTTTCAAACTTGTAGTGGATAGCACTTGATGCTAATACAGATTTTTCAAATGTTAATTCATTAACTTTATTTAATCAATGAATAAATAGTAACAAACAAAAACAATAGTCCAATACCTTATATAAAGGAAAATCTCTCGTTGTGTCCCTATAGCGCAATGAATAGCGCTTTGGACATCTAATACAAAGATAGTGGATTCGAATCCCACCAGGGATGGCCTCATTTCTGAGAATGTGATTTCTTTTTTACTATGCTATTTTTTTAGAATAATTAAATTTAATTAATAAATAAATAGTAACAAACAAAAAGAATAGTCCAACATCACATTAATAAAGGAAAATGGAAAATAGCAAGGAAAATCGCTTTCTATTTTGCCTTTAATATTGTGGTTCTGTCATATGTATATGCCTATTTACATTAATTGTAACTGTTTAATAAAAAGTAAGAAAAATAAAATTTTTCTTTGTTGACCTACTTAGGAATTGACTTATTTATTTTTATATTACTTGCTTTAAAGTGAGGGGATGATCAAGCACCAAAAGTGAAAAGTGACACCATTTTATTTTAAGAAAAGAGAGCATAGTACATTTTTATAGCCTATTTTGTATTCAGCATACAGAATTGATGTAAAATCAGTAGCAAAGAGTTTGGCAGATACATTTGTACAGAATGTTTTTTTTCCAGGTATAGAAGTTTAAGTTGGCATTACTTTCCAAGATGACGACCGATTTAACAGCTGTCAAGTGATTTATTCTCAGTTTGGATTGGCAATTCATCATGAATAGACACACGCCTGAACAACGCTTTCAAATTGTGCAATTTTATTTCGAAAATAATGGTCGATTTTCATAAGGGAATTTTGTTTAGCGATGAAGCGCACTTCTGGTTGAATGGCTACGTCAACAAACAAAACTGCCGCATTTGGAGTGAAGCTAATCCACAAGTGTATGTCGAAACACCGTTACATCCAGAAAAAACTGACTGTTTGGTGAGCTTTATGGGCTGGTGGAATCCTTCAAAAACGATGAAGGCCACAAAGTTACAGTCAATGGTGATCGGTATAGAGTCATGATTACTAACTTTTTCATTCCTGAATTGAACAATCATGATGTCCAGGAGCTGTGGTTCCAACAAGATGGCGCAACATGTCACACAGCTCGTGCCACAATCTATTTATTGAAAGACACGTTTGGTGACCGCCTAATTTCAAGTTTTGGACCTGTGCATTGGCCTCCAAGATCTTGTGATTTAACACCGCTAGACTATTTTCTGTGGGGCTATGTAAAGTCATTGGTCTATGCGGATAAGCCACAAACGCTTCACCATTTGGAAGACAACTTTCGCCGTGTTATTGCCGATATACGGCCACAAATGTTGGAAAAAGTCATCGAAAATTGGACGTCCAGATTGGACTACATCCGAGCTAGCCGTGATAGTCCTATGCCAGAAATCATATTTAAAATGTAATGCCACAAGATTATCTTTCGAATAAAAAAAATTCATGTCAATCGAATAATACATCGTTGTTTTATTGCAATTTAAAGTTCTATACCTCTAAAAAAACACGCCCTTTAGATATACACACTGAGGTTGATTTGTATGATGAATTTGCACACCAAGATATATTTATGTATAAAAATACATTTTTGTTTAGGATGCTTCAAAATTTTTCAAATTACACAAAATTAAACCGAGGTATAAAAAGTATTTAAGTTTTGAATTTCATTTTCTTGATATATGTCACAAGTGGTTCAGATTTCATATCCATTTAACCCTTTATCTACGGCATTATGATTTACTGCAGTTTTTTTCATGCAAGAATTTTTATTTGAATCATAACATTGAAAATTAAGGGATATACATAACAAAAATATTCAACTTTGGGAAATTTAATTCGCTAGAACTAATTAATTAATCAAAGATATTCAGCTATAAAATTAATTAAATGCACTGTTCACTTAAAATAAATAGTCAATTCGTTTTCTAAGGTCTTCATTAATATACAAAAATGTAAGACATTTACTTTTGACATTAACTATTTTTCCGGAACAAAAAGGACAATCTTCGCAATCCTCTGAAAACGACGTCAGCTAAAAACGCAATTTCCACTATAAAATTATTCACCATCCCCGCTAAAATACTCATCATAGAACCCGTGCTGCCATACATCTTAGAAGAGTGGATTTCAAAGAATATTCCTTCTAAGTATTGTCAAAGTATTCCTAAAATTGTTCTTTTATGTAATTTTAAAGTGATTTGTACTTACCAGTACTTTCGGTAGATAAAGGGTTTAAACGCTAAATGCAGTTATAATCGGTCACATTTATAACTAAGATATCCGACTGCGTTCGGAGCAGTTTTTTTTCAAAAGTGTAAAAACGAACTTTTTTTAATATTTGGTGTCACTTAAATTAGAATACTCTTATGAAATTGTTTTAAGAATATTATGATTATAAAAAAATTATTTAAATGCAATATTTTGGCAAAATATGAACATAGAATTTTATATTTTCAAACATTTTAATTCGATGGGAAATGCGTCAATAAAAATAATATTTTGCCACTATATAGCTCTGATATTTGTGCAGAACCCGAACTAGAATTTTTGGAGCATAGAAGCTGATTTATCCATATTTTAATATATCAGAGTGAATTAATTTTAACAAAAGAAATACCACTAGTTATTTAAATTGGTAGTAATTCTAAAAATAATGTGACTTTTCAAAAATCCTAGTTCAGGCCCTTTGGAAAAGTCTTAACTATATACGTATAAGCATAATATTATTTTTTATAGAAGCATTTTTCATAAAAGGAGGATGTTTTGAAAATGAGTCAAAATATTGCATTTAAATAACTTTTTTATTGTAATAATGTCCTTAAAACAATTTTATATGTGTATTTAAATGACACTAAATATTGAAAAAATATTCGTTTGTATGTTTTTGCAAGATAACGATTACGGACTTAGTCGGATACCAAAACAAAAATAATTAATTTTAAAATTAAATAAAAACGCATAATAATAAGTTAAATTTCTTACTGAACTTATGCATGTATATATAAAGTCAAAGAAAATTCATTATTGAATTCAAAATAAAATTTGGTTTCATTCTAGATTTTCTATAAAGTATTTTTGTTGTTCTTAAGATAATATTGTCAACTCGCCTTATTTCCCAGTACCCTCCAGGAACAGCATTTCATGAAAGTAGGAGTCACGAACTGTTACATTTGAAGCATAATATCCCAACTCTTTTAACATATTGTTCTATTCCAACCTAAGACCTTTTTATTAGAGTTTCCTCAGTTGAGGAACCGTACACAGGATACTGCATGTGTATTGTAACAGTTGTATAGTGAATATTTTGTAACATATCTTACGTACACATCTAATTTCTTTAAAGTTTGACACGAGATAATCAAGCAGAAATTAAAATGATTTTATTTTAAACACTAGAGTATGTGTTACTGAAAAACAAAAATGGTCTTTCTGACAGTTAATTTGAAGAATTGGTTTAGTACTTCGCCAAAAGCCCTCGTGTAGCTGAACAGTGCGACGTTAACTTTCAATCAATCAATCAATAAAAAAGAATTGTTTGCATTTATAGATTTATTTTGTTTCCAGTGACATAGCACAAGAAGTTTAAACGATGGCTAATGCATACATTTCTTCATCTTCATACGTTTAAACACTTGACACTGCGACTTACACTTCGTTTTCTCATCTTCAATATAATATCGAGAGCAGACTTTAAAACATAAAAAAAATTGAATTACATTAATATACTAATCCAAATAATGTGTGTTCCAGTAATCCAAAATATTTCACACCATAAAACTTTCGGGATATCATGATTGAATCTCAAAGACCTTCAAATCAAAATTCTTTAAATAACCTTATCATCTATTTCCAATCAACAGCCCTTACCTCCATTTCCCAAAAAAGAACCATTTGAAAAGAATTTCCTCTGGATGAAAATACTTTTATTTCATTGGACAATAATAAATGTGAAGAAGATAAAATGTAACCAATTTTCCGATTGTACTGATCTTTTCTCTGAAGTATTCTAAAGAAAATATGTAAAATACAATTCTAAGACTGAAAAATAAATTTAAAAGATCTCGTATATAGACAAAAGTTTATCGAAGAAATGCGTGTGTGTTTTTTTTAACTATCTTTATCTAAAAGTATTTTACATCTTAAAGTAACAGAGAGTAATAAATTCATAATAGCCGTGTTGCTATATCATTATTTTGATACTTTTATTAATTTCTTGAAGGCTTGTGATTTCGAATTCTATAAAATGTTCACACTTAAAATCCAATTCTGAAGTTTTTGGAATATTTTACAAATTAATTTTTGGTAGAAAGGTATAGTTACTTTTTAAAACAGAAATAAATGTGTGATTAAAAAAATTAACTACGTTTACCGTATATAGAATATCTACAGTGTTCCACAAAAGTGCTCATACTCTTGCCATTTCTTATACAATTTTATGTTTTCGACTAATAAAAATTAATATACTGTAAATATAATTTTTTATGATAACTGCAACTTGTCCTTAATGGAATGACATAATTATTTTTTTAAAAATAGAATAACTACTTTTTAAAAAATTAATAATCAAAAAGCTACTAAAAATTACGCCACAAGTCTTCGTACACTTAACAAAAATCTTAACTTAGCTTTAAATATTGTATTTATTTCTTAATTTAGTACTCAGTAGGATATCTTTAGTGTCCACAACCACTTTTAAGCATCTTGGTATAGATTTAATCATTTTTTTGTAATTTCTGCGCGATTTTCCTCCATTCTTCTGTGATTATTGCTTTTACTTCACATTTCGTGTTTATTTGTCATGTTTTTTTTTTATCAAAATCTCACCATATATGTTTTACTGGGCTAACTAAAGTGATTGAAGAGGTGTTTTCATAATTTGAGGACAATTAATAAGCCAACATTAATTATAATTGAGGACAAGAAATACAACATTCAAAGCTAAGTGGAGCTTTTTGTTAAGTATACGAAGACTTTTGTTGCGTAATTTTTTAGTAGCTTTTTGATTATTAATTTTTTAAAAAAAGTAGTTATTCTATTTTTAAAATTAATTATGTCATTCCATTAAGTACAAGTTGCAGGTATGGTAAAAAAAATTACAATTACAGTATATTAATTTTTATTAGTCGAAAACATTAAATTTTATAAGAAATTGCAAGTG